GCTTTACCGATTTAGCCTCAGAGGAGCGTTTCGATTAGCAAGTTTAAAAACAGTAAAATCGACCTTGCTCCTCTGTGTCTAAATCGATAATGCGTAGATAGATAGATAGATAGATAGATAGATAGATAGATAGATAGATAGATATTAGAGCGATAGATATTAGAGCGATAAAAAGTGGCATGTTAAAACAAGAATAAAATTTGACAGAGAAAATAATATTAATGTGATAATATAGAAACGGGTTTACCAAAAACAAAAACAGCTGTCTCGTGTCTAGGATCAGATTTTAATTGTACTTTTCTCTCTCTTTTTGTTCTGACATGTCCGTTTTTATTGCTTAATTACATTTTGAACATTTACAAATATAAACAGGAAATAACCACACGACATACACACAAAAAGGGAAAAAATCACCCTAATAACAATAATTAGCGCATTAGTATAAAGATATCGAAATATGAGAAAAACGGGAGTTCATTGCTGAAACCGCATGACATGTGAACTGAACGATTAATAAAAGATTTGTGGATGAAACTCTGGAGTTGAGGTGCTGATTATAACATCAATCAGCTAAGTGACAAATTTGATTTGTATTAATCCTATATATATATATATATATATATATATATATATATATATATATATATATATATATAGTTATTATTATTATTATATTACTTAACTTTCAAATATCAATTAAGTAATCTTTTCATGTAATATTGTTAACACTATTTTTAATATTATTTCAATTTTTTTAATATTGAGCGCTATATATAAAAATATCTGCTGTTTCTTAAATCCTAATTCTATATATATATATATATATATATATATATATATATATATATATAGTCTAGCCACACTGATGAGCTATGATACAGCGAAACAATCTGTTCGTGGATGATATATATATATATATATATATATATATTAATTATACATAATTTAAAAGTACTCTTAGTGAAAGTAACTTTTCAAAATATACATTATGTGTGTATGAGAGAGAGAAAGAGAGAGAGAAAGCACTTGTTCCAACAAAAACAAGCGTCATAGAGAATGTTATTTTTCAGGTGGGTGGGTCAGGTGTGTGAGTCTCTCGTAACCCATTAAATACATAGAGACACCATGTGTACTGCGGCCATAATAGTAGTGTCCTACCTTAGGCAAGGTAGCCTAACGAAACTTATCCTCCTTCAGCTTAGTTTTCCTTCTCCCAGACTGGTTTCCACCTCAAAGCATGAGAACACAGTCAGCTATACTATTTAACCTATAACTGGGAGGAGCAGAGATGAATTCATAGCTTTTCCAACGGTATTTGTTGGTTTGGTTTGTTTTACAGCATATCAACCTCAATGGGTTATTTAATGCTGACAAAAAATTTTATTGCTGGTAATATTTTGTTTTGTCAAAAATCTGTTTCTGGTAATATATTTCCTTCAAAATTGTATTGCTGGTAATAATTTTTTTCAAAAATGCATTGCTGGTAATAGTTAAATATTTTCGCATAGCTGGGACCCTAACAGGTGCTACCACCCCGGGTCAGGGTGGACCTGGGAACACCAATTAAGAGATGGTTCCACGCTCCTCAAAACCTCCTGATCAGAGCCTTGCTGCTGGACGTAGTTTAACGTCTTACCCGGGACAAACGGTATTTGTGCGAAATTTAACTCAACCAGAATTCGAAATTGGTGCATCGATTTCTCTTTCCGGGAATGTATTAAAATAAATAAATGGAAAAAAAGAACGAGTTAATCAGACAATCCAATATATATATATATATATATATATATATATATATATATATATATATATATATACAAGAATTTCTAAGAGTGAACCTGTAGAAAAGACAATATTTATAAATATTAATGACAATAGGCAAAAAACGAAATGAATTTATTTAAGCAAAGTAACTAATACTAACACAAGGACATTTTGTTTTTGCTATTATTAGTTACTTTGTTTAAATAAATTCATTTTTGTTTTTTGCCTTGAGAAAGTCCACATTGGACGATACGCGTCATTTATATATATATATATATATATATATATATATATTTATATGTTTGTGTGTTGTGTATGTGTGTGTGTGTTGTTCTCAAAGTCATTATGCACTTATATTTTTATTAACAGACGTGTTTCAGTATAGAATACAAGAGGAGAATAGGAATGAAAATGATAAACAATGTCGGAAATTGGCGCCCATTAGAATCAATTTAGGCTTTGATCCTTTTTATTTTGTTTCTGAACACCGCTGTCAGTTGGTCGCCATTATTTTGTATGGGAAGAGTTTTAATTTTTGTCTGGTTACCTTATGAGCAGTTCCAAGACCAATATCTTGGTAATGCGCTAATAACTACTTTAAGATACTGCCAGAAATATCCAACAGTTTCTCCTCCGATGACTTTGCTGGATTTCCACGTCGTTTGTCATCGTCCACTGATCCAGTTTCCCAAAATTTATCAACATGGTTAAAAACTGCATTGCGATGTGGAACAGGTGTATCTGAAAATTTATCAACAATAACGCTGTAGGACCAAATCTGTGTGTCGACCACCTTCTTGAAATACGTGTTCGTTAAGAAACACACGTGCTTCAGTTGTTAAAACCATATTGAGTTGAAATCTGAAATATAAAAAATATGATTAGAAAAGTGCACAGTAACTTTCCAGACACTCTGTATATATCGTCTTGAAAAGTTGTCCAATAAAAAATGCAGTCTAATAAATAAAGTGAAAAAAATGAAATTAATAAGAAATGCCATTTTTCTTTTCAAAATATGTTATTGTCATTGTTCACTTTTTTTTTAAGCATTCAACCCCAAGCAAGGCGGGAAGCCACTAGCACACAAAGGGTTTCAGAGTAGGAGCGAGAACAAAGAGGAATGATAGAGGAAAGGATGAAGAGACAGTTAAGGGATAGATCAGGGCATCTGGAGACGTCGATTGACATTACATTTAAATAGTTGGAGATTATAGTTATCAGGAAAACAAGAAATGGGGAGGGAGTTCCACAGGCGAAAAATGCGAGACATGAAGCTGTGAGTCAATATTGAATTTCAGCGACACCGGTCATGTACATAACTGCGTAATAGCAATTACGAGCATAAAAAGAAAAAAAATAAATTTCATATTTTTCTGGCAACGAATAATTTTCCAATGATTAAATAAGTGTATTAACAGAGACGAGAAAGTGTGATACCGACATCCAAAGAAGGATTGGGATAACGAAAAAGGCCTTCCAAAATCTAAGCAAAGAATTAAGAAAGAGAAAAATTAGAAACAAAGCTAAGAGTACTGAACTCTTATGTAATCTGTTCCCTATATGGCAGTGGATGCTGGACCATCTCCACACAAATGAAGAAACTTGAAGCGATAGAAATGTGGTTCTACAGAGAGATGCTGAGAATACCATGGACTGAAGACTACGATGGACGACGAAGTTTTAGCGAAAATGGAAACGGCACATACCTAAAATCAGAAAGAGACAGCTGAAATTTCTAAAGCAGGTAATGAGAAAAGAGGGCTCGGAAAATTTGACACTCAAAGGACATACTGAAGGCAAGAGGGATAGAGGAAGACAGCTACCTAATGAGTTTGTGTAAATGGATGGCAGAACAGGTTTTAGTTGATATAACAAAAAGGCCAAATTTTCTAAGTTACAAAGGACAGAAAATTGTGAAGAGACATGATCGCCAACGTCATGAAAGGAACGGCATATAGACGAAGAAGAATAATCTTTGCCAAACCCCGTAAAGTTGCCTCTCTGTACCTTTTTTTTATAGATACTTTCATGGTAATTGTTCCGATAATCTCTTCGCTATGATACACATTGGGGTTTAGATTTTTTAAATTGTTGTTTTATTCCCCTCCGCCCACAGATATGAAGTTGTACATATCGCGACTGGTTAGGATTTTCGTAGAGACAATGAAGTATTATATTGGATGGAGCAAAATGTTAAGTAAGACACATGGTACAGTGGATAAAGGCGTTGGTTAGATCCAGTGACAGGACCCAAAGAGTGTGAGTTCCATACCTAGTTAAGGCAGTGGAGAACTTTCAGAGGAAAATTAACAGGAGATAACTGATAACTGACATCCATTAAAAACGTGGAACTAGAACAGTCTAACCCAGTGAGCGAAATAAAGGGTTCAGTTCGACATTCCAACCACCTGAAGGCCGAAACGTTGTAATATGACGACAAAGATAAGGACAATAGTCTAAATAATGTATATAATAGCTCATCTCAGAAATATAGACAGATGTTAAGTAAGAATGTGTTGTTTTGGTGTAAGGAATATTGTGGTTATGTTTGGGTCAGTGATTGTGGCTAAATTTAAGTTTAAATTTAAGACTGAAGAAAACCGTCCTTTTCTCCATTCACCATTTTGGCTTTGTGCCACATTTTGTAATTTTTACCAATAATTATCGGACTTCGCTATGGTACCTAAACTTTATGAATTTAAGCGTCGAAATCTCATCAATTTAGATTTGAGCTGGCTAGATATAGCCGTAACAACTTCTATGCTAACAGTATCTTTCTTCGCAATTCTCGCTTGTGGAACTCTCTTCCGGTTCTATAACTTCCGGTCTATTTCAATCTGTAAAAATTTAAATATCAGCTATCTACTGTCCTCGTGTTACACTTTTCTCTTTCTGCTCATTATTAATGTTTCTGTTTCTAATTCTTCCACGCCATGTAACTCCTTATGTTTTAGTGGCCTTGCTTGGGGTGATACTGATTTTAAAAAAATATTTTATTATAAAAGATAAATTATAATCTCTTACCGAACAATGTTCATTTTTAAAACAACAGCTATAAACTCACTCTACCGGATGAACAGTAGAGCGACTCTTTCTCTAGAAAAAGCAAAAAAAAATAGGCTAAGTTTTTGCTTTGTGTCCAATAATTACGCAAGCCAATTTTTAGATCTGTACACGAGTGTTTCGATGTGTATAACAAACACATAAATGAACTTCCTTTGTTATATTTTTTCTAGGTCAAAATTCCGAGCGTTATTCAAGAACCCCTGAATTGCATATCACTTGTTCAGAAACTATCCAACAGACGCCAAGATTTGGCCACCTGAATCAGTGGACCACATACAACACAATGCCTATCGCCAATACCGTAAGTAATATATATATATATATATATATATATATATATATATATATATATATATATATATATATATATTTCACACACAAAAAAGCCTTTCTTCTGAATTTTTATTGACTGTAGCAGAGTAATTTTTTTCTTCGTATACCTTTTGAAAATAGAACATGGTTTTGGTGAACTTGTAGGGATATTATTATTATTATTATTATTATTATTATTATTATTATTATTATAAATGAATAAGAATAAAATATAAAATAATAATAATAATTATAAATAAAATAAAACGATAACATAAATACGTTGTATAAAATAAATTATATAGAATTAAAAATAATAAAAGTAATCCTAGCATCCAGCAAAAACTGTTCCAGCCGGAAATACGGACATCTGGTATAGACTGTTTAAGTTGATCAGTGCTCATCTCTTCACATCTACGCTTGTATGTATGTGCGCAAAGAAAAAGTCCACCGAGTGCTAGCTAGGATAAATTTGAAAGGTCAAATGGCTGTTCATATTAGCGCATTTTCAAGTTATGAATAGGCAAAACAGGGATAGAGATTAACATAGGCATTTTTTTGATTGGTTAGCCAACCGGGGAAAGGCTAATTTAAGGTTTTAGTGAGTAGAAAAATTAATTTTGTCAAATTTGAGTTTTGGATGGCAAAGAGAAAATAGCTGACAAAATTCTTGATCCGATAGGTTTTGAATGGAAACAACGATAACAATTACTGAACTTGAGAAACCTATTTTCCTGCAAAACTTAGTGTTGTAACCTAGGGAAGGTTACTGAACAGAATAATCACACGAAGGTTGGTAATGAACGATAATACTTAGGACAAGAACAATACATATAAGATTCGCCAGCGGCGCGTAAAAGTAGTCAACTGCTAGAAATAGGTCAATTGAATTCGACAATGAATCTCCAACTGCAGGATATTTACCAACCACCCCACACGGTCAGATGTGGCACAAGGCCGAATTTAATGTGGGGTTTCCGAGCCCGTAGAAAACGAGGTCGGGTAGCTGTTTCCCGAGAGCAAACTCTGCCCTCCGACATAGCCTCGTCTAGGGATTCTCTCTGCCTTCTAGGCAGAGAGTTTGACCAGCACAGCTGGAAACAAATCTCCAAGTGCAGACCAACATACAGTACTTACTATTGTATTTATGTGAATGCGGACATACCCATTATCGTCCGTAGGTATGTTACAACACTTAGGAAGCAAACTCCCATCAATACTGAAAAGAACGATAACAGTTACCGAACTTGAGAAAACTATTTTCCTGAAAATTTGTTTTAATAGAAAGATTTTATAAATTTCAACCGAAATTAGTACTATTTAGACTATTAAAAAAAACGACGACCCCAGCATAGTCTATTTAATGTTCTCTTTTCTAAATTCGTTATAACTGATGCATACATCGAAGTATCTGAAGTGTTTAGTATTTACTAATTCCACATCATGAATTTTGATGATGGCTTCAGAGTAGGTGCCGTCACTGCTTTCATTCCAGTTCACTGTTTCTCTTTTCTGTTCAAGGGCATTCTTTTCCCAACTATAAACGCCTAAGTCATCGACGTATCTTTTACTATGTCTGGTTCATAAATAATACTTCCCCGGAGGTATCTATGTAAATAGAGACCAATATATACTGATTTTGGTCCATCTGCGCTTCAGATTAGATTCCTATTTGATGTTCTCTTTCCTAAATTTGTCATAACTCAATACGTTAAGGTATCTGAAGTGTTTAGCATTTACGAATTCCACCTGTTTATGAAGGATTCAAGGTATGTGCCGTCACTGCTTTTATTCCAATTCCAGATCAAAGTTTGTGTTTTGGAAAGGTTTATCTTTAGTCTTGTTTCTTAGAACACTTGGTAGTGGATGCTGATTTTTGTTCAAGGACATTCTTTTCCCAACTATGAACGCCATGTCATCAATGTATCTTTTACTGTGTCTAGTTCATAAATAATACTTCACCGTAGGTATCTATGTAAATATAGATCAATATATACTGATTTCGGTCTCATATGTGGTTTCAGATATTCACAGTGGGTCTTCGAACATATCTCTACGCATAAGAAGGCTCAATGTTCGAAGGGGTGCTGAAAAGTTCTTGGTTGAATAGACTTCTCAAAATCGGAACAAAAGACCAAACGATTCTTTCGAAGTGCTTAATCAAACCGAGAATATTTCAGCACCCCTCAAAAATTTGTGAAATTGTTCTGATTTAAGAACCATTCCTATTAAAAGAAAGGTGCTTGCTTCTGGTACTAATTGCTAGCGTGTAAGTTTGGCGAAGGTGCGTTCTTTGGTCAATTGACACTGCACTCACGGTTCGTCATTAACCTTGCCATCTTATGAAACAACAGTAGCCCAGACTTCTAAAACATTTATTCTTGAACTCTTTCAGAGTTGTGTACCTGATGCCGAAAATTTTAGCGACTCGGATCTACAGGATTTAACTAGCCTGCTCGAGAATGACGAACTATCTTACGAATTCTTGCGCGATATTTTCCACACAGACGACCAGATTACCGACCAGCCACCTCAGAAGACGTTAATCGACTTAGATCCACCCACTGCAACCGAAGACCAATGCCCCACAGTTCACACCCACCCACAGTCACCGTACTCTCAGTCGCATCCAGTTGAAAACATATCGACAACAAGCCTGCAGCCCGCAACGATACAGAATACTTTCAGTTCATTTCTAAATCAATATAACACCAACAACGAATCATCGTCCAGCAACACCGATACAAATACGAGTGAGTTTTTTTATTAATAAGTGAACATTCCTCCTTTATTAGACGTGACAATTTTCAGAATCATTTCCTCTTTCTCTGTTCTTCTTCATCTCCTCCTCCTCCTCCTCCTCCTCTTCTCTATCCTCCTTCTTTTTCTCTTTCTTCTCTTCCTCTCTCTTCATCTATTTCTTCTTCTTTTCTCCCTTATTTACATTATTTATATTCGGACTATTGTCCTCATCTTTGTTGTTTTTATCACAACATTTCGGCCATTGTACCCTCCGGCCTTCATCATGTATATTGATCTGAGTAACCTATAGGAATTTCTGAACTAGATCCTTTATTCAATGTACGGGGCTAGACTGTTCTCTTTCGACTGTCCATGTCTAGGGATATTTCGTCTAGTTCTTATTTTTAGTACTGCTCATCTATTGCTCACCCGATTCAACTGAGTTCAAGTACACACTGCCCGGCTCAGGATTTGAACTCACAACAATTTTTGTGTCGTAAATAGGAAAGGTTGACACACATATAGAAAATTAGAAGTAATTATTCCAGAGAATAATATGGTACATAGTTGAAAACACAGAATAATATAATAAACAGTTAATCGTTAACTCCTTGGTATTTATCTGAGATCATCCCACAAGGTGGGATGTGACACAAGGCCGATTTTTTTACATGGGGCGTTCCGAGCCCATAGGCTCGGGCAAAAATTCACCATACACGGGTCGGGTTGCTATCTACTTCCCCAGACGAGACTCTGCCTCACCTGGGTTCCAGTAAGTGCTGTTTAAATAGTCTTACACAGTCCATATTGTGGAAGTGTTCAGCTACTCCACAACAGCTATTTTACCAAATTCGTCTCTTCCTTATCTTGCATTTTCCTCTTCTTTTTCTTCTTTTCTTCTTTCTCCCTTTCTACTTTTCCTTTGTTTCTTTCTTTCTTTTCTTCACGTTCTTTTCCTCATCCACCTTCTTTCGTCTGCTTCTCTTTCTTTCTTTCCTTCTTCTGTCTTTTCTTTTATGTCTTCTTCCTATTTATGCTTTTCTTCTTTCTTCCTGTCTTTTTTCTCTTTATTCTGCTCTCTTTTTCTTCTTTCTTCCTATCTTTTTCTTCCTTTTCTTTCTTCTTACTTCCCTTTTTTCTTCTCTTCCATCTTCTCTTTCAATCTGACCTATGTCTGTCTATCTTTTTGACTCTAGTGGAAATTGAACCTCCGTCTATCTTTTTGACTCTAGTGGAAATCCGACCTACGTCAATCTTTTTGACTCTAATGGAAATCCGACCTACGTCAATCTTCTTTTACCATAATGTAAAGCATACCTATAACTATAATTCTTTATCGATTTTTGCTATTAGCGCATATCGAACCTATGTATACCTTTTTAATTCTATTGTAAACCAAATCAATGTATATTTTTTTTTACTGTATTGTAAACTGAACTAACGTCTATTTTTTCTCCTCTAGAGTAAAAAGTATCAGTGTTTAGCTTTTTCACAAGTGCATACCGGACTTATATCTACCGTTTTGGCTCGAGTGAAGACAGAACTATCTACTTGACTTTTGTGTGAACCGAACCTACGTTAATCATTTTTGCTCTATTATATACCTGGCCTGTGATGACGCTTTTAAGTCTACTATAAACTTGCATCTACCTTTTCATTCTAGTGTCAATCCGACCTCAGTTTAGTGATCTGTTAATTCATTGTGATTTGTCTCATAAAATTTATATTCGACATGAAATAAACCGGCAACGTTTGATATGTCGTTAAATGAAGTAAACCTAAACTTCAATCGTCTTTACGGTCTTCTTTTGTTATTTCTTTTGGATTTTATTAGCATTTTCTAAATTCTATCTAACTATATAAAACAGTATTTCCTTTCGTGAATATTTTGTTATTTTTCCATTAAAAAATGAGAAATAAGAACAAACTCAATGCACCTTAGGTAAATACACCGGAACAAGGAATGTGAAATTTATGCTCAGACTGATATCAGAAAGAGCAATGAAAATTCAGAAAGATATTTGCCTGTGTTTTATAAATTATCCAAAAGCGTTTGATAAAGTACTTCACAAAGAACTATTCGAACTACTAGGGGAGCTTGATTTATTTATGAAAAACAGTCCAGAATTTATAGTGAGTGCAAACCTCTTGCATGCGGATAGAAAAGCTAGATAGAATTCAGTAAATGCACAAAAATAGAAAGGAGTATAAGACCAGGATGTTTTTTCTCACAGAACTTATTCAACCCTTACAGCTCGGTGGAGTAATAGCGGCTCGGATTGAGGAATCGGAGATTCAAGTTCGAATTCCAGTCGAATCTATTACATTCACTTACGTGCTAATACCCTTGGGAAAGGTACGATTCTTCTTCTTCTACCCCCAGATATGGGTAAATAGCAGGACAGATATATAGACATATCTATAGCTTTGAATGGCAACTGGTCTACTGCAGAAAGAAATGGCAACCTACTGCGAGAGAAATATACATGATCGCCTAAGCGTGTATAACGTATGGCATATAGCTGACTGATTGACCAGGATAAATTAGGTGCGGTCTCAATCTTAACAACATTAGATAGGCAGGTGAATCTGTGCTGATAGCAAACATAGAAAGGTAACTATAGGAACTCCTACAGAAGGTAGTGAAGGAAAGCGAGAAGAAAGGACTAAGCATCAATTATAAGAAGACAGGATGTACAGGTGTCAGTAAAAGGAACTATAAATTGGAGACACTAAATTCAAACAATTATAAAGAATTAAATATCTAAAAAATGTTTTAACAGAGATCGAAAAATGTGAGTCCGAAATCCGAAGACGCATTCGGATAGCGAAAGACGCCTTCCAAAATCTAAGCACAGAATTAAGAAACGGGAAAATTTCGTTAGAAACAAAGAAAAGAGCACTAGATATTTATATAATATTGATCCACCTATATGGTAGTGAATGCTGAACAATCTACTCACAGATAAAGAAGAGACTTGTGATAACAGAAACGTATTTCTACAGAAGGACCCTGAGAATACCATGGATTTAACATTTGAATAACGAGAAAGTTTTAGGGAAAAATGGAAACAAAACGGATAGTTATACTTAACATGAGAAACAGACAATTGAAATTTCTATGGCCCCAAATTAGGAAAGAGGACTTGGAGAATTTGACACTCACAAGATATACTGAAGGCAAGACGGGCAGAGGAAAACAGCGCTTAACCTATATAACGAGTTTGTTGGTAGAACAGGGATTAGGAGTGAGAGTAAAACGATAAAATTTACTTTGCTTACAAACAGGAAGCTGTAGGGAGCGATGATCGTCCATGTCCCGAATAGATACGACAGATAGAAGTAGAAAAAGAACCGAAATAAAGATCATCGCAATACAATATTTCCCCTTGTATTTTCTCTATTTAACAGTTGTGTGCTAAGCAAACACTCTTTTTACTTTGTCAATGGGATGTCCATACATAATTTTTCGCTTTTTTTTCAGGTGTAAAGAATGCAGTTTTTGACTTATCTATGTCTAAGTGGGCATCTAAACACCCTCGCCAGTGGACCACCGATGACGTACTTGACTGGCTCTATAGCGCCGTCGAGAAAGAAGGGGTCGACCTTAGTCGTCTGCGTGGCGAAGCATTTCAGAATGTGACCGGCGTCCAACTGTGCAACATGTCTGAAGAGGAGTTTACTGAAAAAGAACCAGAATATGGCGGACTGCTTTTCAAGAGTTTTCAGAGACTCATAGATTCAAGTAAGTTTCACTTATATTGATGAGTATATACTCTTCCATTTTTTCTTTGTTATTTATTTGTTGTACATTTTTATTTATGTTCTTATGGTTTGTAAAACAGAAGGGTGCATTTTTGTAACTCAGACCAGATCCCAGTTTTGTTCTCAGGGTGCAGCTCCTTCCAGTAAAACGCTTGTGGCTTAAGAAATAATTCTTTATTTCGCTGACTGGGGCAGACGGTTCTGGTTCCACGTGCCAAGTTTAATGTATGTCAGTTATCAGTTATCTCCTGTTAAATTCCCTCTGAAAGTTCTCTACTGCCTTAACCGGGTATTGAACTCAAACTCTTTGGGTCCTGTCACTGGATCTAACTAACGCCTTTTTCCCAGTGAGCGAAATAAAGGGTTCAGTTCGACATTCCAACCACCCGGAGAAGGCCGGAGCGTACAACGACCCAAGCGTTGTAATAAATATGGCGACAAAGATGAGGACAATAGTCCGAATAATGTAAATAATGAACAGTTCTAGCCCAGATATAGATTCATAATTTTCTTTGCACTGGATGTAACACACTTTGTCGGAATTCGAATTCTGTTCGCCGATTTAATTTGCGTTAATACTGTTGAAGAATCCATGAATACAATATTGGCCAATTTTATTGTCTATACCTTTTAGGAGCGGCTGCTTTCAGCCTTCTTTTTCGATTTCAATCCGTATATATATATATATATATATATATATATATATATATATATATACGGATTAAAATATCTCTCTGTCTTTTTTTTCATTTTATTCTCGATCCCTGACGAAGCCTTAATAAAGGTGAAAATGTTAGATTGAGTCACGTTTCCGACTTGTTCTTTATTTTACTTTATCAACTTGTCCGAACCCTATCCATATATATATATATATATATATATATATATATATATATATATATATATATATATACGGCTGAAAAAGCAGCCGCTACTAAAAGGTATAGACAATAAATTTGGCCCACCCTTTCCAGCCTTGACAAAATTCAGAACCGTCTACGCGACCTTGCAAACAATGAATTATTATCCATCGTACAATCCCTCTCGAACGGCTACAACATCCCATGCTTATCACTATATATATATATATATATATATATATATATATATATATATATATATATATATATATATATATATATATATATGTCGTCCACATACAGGACTGTTTCGCTCTATCATAGCTCATCAGTGCGGTTTGACATCAGTTTGAATTTCTAACCCTGAGCTATCAGCGCACAGCAGAAGGAAAAGGAAATTGTAGCGTATTATTTTTACGAATATAAGTAGAAAATATGTCTCAATCTAATATGTTTCACCTTTATTAAGGTTTCGTCTGTGAACGAGAATAGAAATGAAAAAAGGAAAAGCGGCAGGGTACTGATATGATTTTTGGTTAGTTGTCAAAAGAACTTCTTACATCGAAACGACGTGGGACATAACTTTGATTTTCAGCCTCATTTTCTTTAAGGAGAAAATATTTTGAAAATATATTTAAAGCATTACTACCACACTTCCACATAGACGAGAATATAAAAATCCAATCAAATACAAAATTATTGCATCATATCGTTATGATTTCAGTTACATATCGCTTAAAATATTACATCACATTACCATCTTTCTACAAATCCATTATTCATGAATCAAACGTATGTCTATCTAATACATAAAATAGTGAAAATTTACAAATCCTTTTGAAAAATACGCATGGAAAATGCTTTAATCTTAAATCCAACCAAAACTAGATTATTACAAGATCTTACTTCGTTTCACTGACTCACACAGAATTGACGACCACAAACATTCACCACACACACTTTCCACATACACGAGAATATAAAAATCCAACCAAATATAAAATTATTGCAACATATCGCTACATTTCACCGACATTTACGAGGGTAACATCTATAAACATTCCTCACCTACGCACACTTATACATTTACATGAATTAACGTTATCGTTCAACATACACCTAGACACACAAGCGCTTCTTTACTTACACACTCTTTCAGTTTCACACATTATAGCGTCCTAAATGTTCCTCACACATATTTGTATATTATCTATTGCGTTAATACACGTGACATATGTCTGACCAATGAGAACTGACCCAAAAATCATAACATACCAGTACTCTCTCACTCGGCCTTTTTTTTTCAATTCTATTCTCGATCCCTGACGAAACCTTAAATACAGATGAAACATGTTAGATTGAGTCACGTTTCCGACTTGTTCTTTATTTTACTTCATCATCTTGTCTGAACCCTTTCCATATCTGATGTACATTTGATCTTCAACTCATATATATATGTGTGTGTGTGTCTGTGTGTGTGTTCTCTCAAACATGTTTTATTAAATAATACGGATAAATTCTGTCTATCATTTCTTATTAAATCTTTCAAATTTTCGAATAATTTATTTTGCGTTATCAGTAAATTTGCCAAAATTCATATTAACAGTTATTCTACATTATCATTTTCTTCCCGAGTACTTTCGAATGTTGCTACATTCGTTTTCAAGGATTGATGTGGTTACGCAACGGATTTTTAATTCTGGTTTTCTCACATTTATTGAAATCTATTTCATGTCACTCAAGGTGACGTCATATAAACGGTCAAACTGAAATACTATGATAATATATAATACTCTCTTACTATCCCTTCGTTAGAACAATCGACTCACTCTACCTTGAGGGGCTCTTGGGTTTGTATTGGGTGAACTAACAGTTAAAAAATTGTTTTGCCTAATAAGATTAACGGTAAGAACAAATCTATCTCTCTCATAGTGATTTTCTAAGACGTAGCTTAGATGTGGCACAGGGTCGAATGAATGAGGCACCCAGTGAAAATCGAACTCACTATTCAGCGAGACAAGCTTGCTAGCCACTACACTACCTCGAGGTGCCCATTCTATCCCTCTTAACTTAATAGTGTTGCACGGGCTGCTGCTGATTATGGTTCTTCTGAATACCGGGGAGTGTCCGAATGGGAAAGCTTTATTTGGGGCAAGTCTTATTTATTTTTAGTAAGTGTTATTTATTTATTTTGGAGTGGAGTATTTATGTGAGTAAGTGAAATCGCCGTGTGTGTTCCTGTTTGTGCTTGCTGTGAGTACACATGTGTGTACTCCTACGTGTACTTGCTATGTGCGGCTTTTGGTTCGTTCTTATATAGGCTGGAAACAAAATTTAATATGTTTTTTGTCTTGAGGCGACACCAAGTCTGCTTTTACGTATCTAACTTGATGAAATTGTAGTTGTAGAGGAAATTTGAAGGTGTATTTATTTTTGTGTATTTTCGAAGTCCCAACATTATATTGTTATAATTGTTCAATTTTATTATTAGTTATTGTTGTTAATATTTTATTGGGCCTAATAAGCTCTACGGTAAGAACCAATCTTCTATTCGTCAGGTAACTTTTATTGCAATAGATTTTTATAATTATTTTATTTTATTATTAATTATTATTGTTAATATCTTATTTTACTTCTACGGTAAGGATAAATCTTCTATTCGTCATATAACATTTATTACAGTATTTTCCTTTTAATCAAGTTCACCCCAAGCAAGACAATAAAACCACCGAGACACAATGAGTTACTGGATGTGGAAGAGTTAGAAACAGGAACGTTGCTAACAAAGGAAGAGTAACCAGGATTGTACTTTTCTTGCTATCACTTATTGTGCTTTACTTATATATTAAACTAGTTATGCATGTATCAGAAAACAATACATATTAGGATTCGTGCTATTCATGATTTCGGGCTATATGCCCGCTGCGGGTGAGTGAACGTGACTGTACATGTAAGAATAGATAGTCATTATTTTCTTTCTGAATGTTTATTTTCTTTACTTTCATATTGTAGCGACAACAGTTCCAGCGTTTAATTCAACAATGTCGGAATGCCAATACAATCAGCAAAAAGTCGATTCAGTGTCAACAACGAATTCCATATTACTAGGAAATGGCCTAGCAGTAATTAATGCAACTTTTCATGGCGGTTGGATGGGATCTATGCCAGGTAAATAATATTATATATATATATATATATATATATATATATATATATATATATATATATATATATATATATTAAAAAATAGGTATATAATCCCGACAAAGTTTCAAACTATTGACAATTGGAAAACGTTTATGAAAGTGTTTCAAAATATATCTGATTATGCATTTCACCGTTTAGGCTCCATCAGATCAAAAGCGAAAAAATGAGATGCGTGTGGGTGTATTAATGGCTTTTTAATATATATATATATATATATATATATATATATATATGAATGAGATAACGATATATATTTTTATGTCTAAAAAAAATGTATGACAAAGTGGAAAGTGCTTTCGTGCGACGTGTTTCGTCCGTTTATGACATTATCGGACTTTGTTATGTTGGTATGATTAGACATGCTGGGAATTTATATATATATATATATATATATATATATATATATATATATATATTTTTTTTTAAATTTAAGTTGAATTTTTTTTTTTAAAAAAAGTAAATCTGTTTTTTTAAAATAAACAGTATTAATTACATTTACCGGCCTGAATGTTCGAGAAATTTAATGTAGATTTTTCTAATCAGACGCTTTCTCTGTAGCTGAGTCGTATAGCACATCAGATCTATTTACGGTTCCGTATAAGACGCAGGTCCGATTCCTGTCGGAGAAGCACATATTTTCATCGAAATTTCTCAAGCACTCAAAAGCCAGTAAATGTAATTAATACTGTTTATTTAAAAACCACAACCATTTACTTAAATAAATTGTGCCTATTAAAAAATAACATACAAACAGAAAATATATTAAATGAACTTAATCCATTTTATATATATATATATATATATATATATATATATATATATATATATATATATAATGAGAAGCCACGTATACTTTCTTAATATGTATATATAGAAAAAGTTTCAAATTGAAAATTATAATGTTTTATTTTATGAAAGTATTTATTTATTTATATATATATTTGATATTTCAAATTGTCCTCAATTTTTCATCAGAAATAACTGTTTGTTACAAATAAATTAAAATTTTAATTTATTTGTAACAAACAGTTATTGATAAATGGAAAAAATAAAAAAAAATAAACAGTGCTCGATACAATATAACCGAACTATAAACTAGATATTAATAAATATACATTCAATTTTTTTTTTGTTTTTTTTTTAGTTACGTTTATTTTAAATGGAAAATTTTTAAAAAAACAACAATCCCCGTATAAAATATGAACTGCCTCATTATTGTGATAATCAGATATATTTTTAAAAAGTTTAAATTATCTAACGGCCAGAAGATTGTGTTGCGCATGAAACTCCGTGTCATGCTACCGGTGAAGAAATAAAAATGTATAATCATTAATATATAAACTAATTCTTATCGGACATAATTTCTTATTGCTATAAATGTTATTATGACTGGATACACGTATTGATAGAGCAATATATACATATATATATATATATATATATATATATATATATATATATATATATATATATATATATATATTCTCTCAAACATGTTTTGTTAAATAGTATGGATAATTTTTTTTTTATTAAATATTTCAAATTTCCGAATAAGTTTTCTTGATTTATCAGTAAATTTGCCAAAATTCATATTAACTTTTAATTTATATTATTTTTCCCGAGTACTTTCGAATGTTGCTACATTCGTTCTGTATATGGATACGCAACTGGGTTTTAATTCCAGTGTCCCCAAGTTTAATGGAACTAATTTCATGTCACTCAAGGTGTCGTCATATAAATGGTCAAACTTAAATAAAGTGTTTGTCCACAAAACCTTTAGACAATTTTTAAAATTTTTTACAAAGGTGGCAACTAAATTTATCTTGCATATTAATAGTGATTTTCCAAGCGTAGTTTAGATGCGGCACAAGGCCGAAAGTAGTGGGAACCCAGTGAGGATCGAACTCACTTCTCAGTCGTAATTGTTCCAAATCTTGTATATTAATATGTTAATATTAAAGTTCTTTTAATGATATTAATAGTTTTATTAATGTTATGTTTCTCTGTTTCAGACCGCAATTAATGTTGTTTCTATGCTTCAAACCGCAATATTAAATAAGACAGGAGTAGAAATTGAATATCACTTAGATGTCCTTTGTACAACGAATTGTGTCCATATAGAAATTTATTAACTAGTTGTACATAAACTTCACTATTTACTTCGTATTATGTAAACATTTCAACAGTATCCGGTTTCTGTTGTAATTGTATTACATTTTCATATTTGTCCAATCACTGTGTCGACACCCTTTACGTTTTCACAACATCGCCCACGTGACGACGACGTGATCATATTTAAACGGAACGCTGATCTTATAAAGGTTTCAGTTATCTGTTTGGATTGGTATTGCTTGTATGTCCATCGTCTTTTTCATGTTGAATTGTATATGGTCTATGTTAATTATGTTTTATGAATATGTCCTGAAGATGGTCTATTAGACCGAAACGTCCGACGTTGACATTAAACATTAAAACAGCATAATCGCATATTAGGATTTTTGTTTGTTTTTTCAGTATATTTTTCTTCATATATATATATATATATATATATATATATATATATATATATGTATATTATGAAATGGACAAAGTCCGACAATTATTTAAGACATTTTAAAAAGAACGTATAAACATAAAAAATGTCTTAAATATATATATATATATATATATATATATATATATATATATATATATATATATATATCAGGTCATCCCATAAGTTCTGTCCGAATTTTAACTTTTTGTTAAAATGAACGAAATTTAAAGAAGAATTTATAATGTCTAATGGAGCTGAACATTATTTTTATGTATTTAAACTGATCAAATTTTATTTCAGAGAATAATAAAATTAAATTTTGTTTGATTAAAACCATGCTAACATGGAAGTACCCAAGAATCATTTGGGGTACATAATGCTTTATGAGTTCAAGAAAGGAAACTCAGCAGCCGAAGCGGCTAGAAACATTCACTCAGTTTATGGAGAGGAATGTGTGAATGAAAGAACTTGCAGAAATGGTTTGAAAAATTCAGAGGTGGATTTTTCACCCTTGAAGATGAAGATCGAACCGGACGTCTAGTTGAGTTTGATGAAAAGCTTCTTGAAGCAGCCCTTGAAGCTTTATCAGTTGAGGAATTGGCAGTGGTTCTCAGTACAAACCATACAACTGTTCATCGTCATCTTCAACAACTTGGAAAAGTTCCTAAACTTGGAAAATAGGTGCCTCATGAATTGTCTGAAAACAACCTCAAATCCCAAGTTGTCATCTGCTCTTCTCTCCATTCTCGCCAAATTGTTACACCTTTTTAGGATAGACTTGTGACTGGCGACGAAAAATGGATCTTTTATCGAAATGTTAAGCGTCGTAGACAGTGGCTTGGTAAAGGGGAAGAACCCCAGCCACAGCCGAGAAGGGAACTTCATGAGCAAAAGGTTCTTCTTTCAATCTGGTGGAATCGCCAAGGAATAATCCACTTTGAATTCTTACCACCTAATGCAACAATTAATGCTCAAATATACTGTCAGCAATTAGAGCGTTTGAACCAAGCTTTGAGGAAAAAAAGACCTGCTCTAGTGAATCGAAAAGAGGTGATGTTTCATCAGGACAATGCGCGACCCCACACAGCAAGAATCACGTCACAAAAAATGAAAGAACTTGGTTGGGAGAAAATTCCTCATCCACCTTATTCTCCCAATCTTGCTCCTGCAGACTACCAGTTGTTTCGTAGCTTACAGAATCATTTGGAAGAAACAGCTTTTGTAACACAGGAAGAGGTTAAAACTGACATTTGTGAATTCTTCGAATCAAAGCCAAAAGAATTTTACAGTAATGGAATTAGTAAGCTTGTTGATAGTTGGAAGGAAGTCATACATAATCAGGGAAAATACATTGTTGATTGAATCTGTAATTAAATGTAACATTTGGTCACTTGTTTTCTTTATTCAAAATTCGGACAGAACTAATGGGATGACCTGATATATATATATATATATATATATATATATATATATATATATATATATATATATATATATATATGTGTGTGTGTGTGTGTGTGTGTGTGTGTGTGTGTGTGTGTATATATATATATATATATATATATATATATATATATATATATATATATATATAAATATAAGTAATTATAAGTAATTATCGTCCAGAAAAAAAAAATAGGTATTTTGGGTTGTAAATGAACAAACCAATACCCAAAGAAAAAATAAGGAATAAAAAAAGAAAGAACTAAGAACATATAATTCAGACGAAAACAATCGACCAGAATCCAGGCTCAGGGTCGAAAGAAAAAAAACTCCAACACGAGTAAAGCAAAAATAACTAAGCAAAGTGCTCAATACACTAAGTAGAGCAAAACTAACTACGAACCTAAAGAGCCAGGCGAACATACCTAGGTTTCACCTACGCGGATCGTCAGGGTACGGCGTACCCCGACGATCCGGGTACCCTGACCTAGGTAGATTGTCCTGGCTCTTTAGGTTCATAGTTATATATATATATATACATAATTAATTTTTTCAATTTTTTTATTTTTTATTTTCTTATTGTTCAAAATATATACACACACACATATATATATATATATATATATATATATATATATATATATATATATATATATAATTTGAAGAAAAACAGACCACTTTAAGGCTCCATTGTAATAGTTTATTTCACCAGACACCTTTCAAAGTACCCTGGACCATCAGACATCACTTCCAAAAGGTGAAACGAAAAATGAAATGAAAATTTACACTTTTGACGAGAAGTATTAAGTTTATGTGATTTAACAGAGAGGGTAGCGAGGAGTGGTGTGAGAGACATTGTCGAGTTTAGAGAGGGTTTATTTTAATATTTCTTTCTATCATACTTAGTATTGAGGAAGGAAGGACCAGACATTGACCCATTTAATCGGTCAACTTAACGGAAATGATATGTTGAAAGTGAAGGAGAGAAGAGAGAAAAAGAAAAAAGGGGAAAATAAAGAGAAAGGAGATGTATTTAGGGTTTACGGAGGAAGAAGAGGGGTGGTATAGTTTTAGCAATTTAGGTTAAAAAACAGATTTTAACGTTTGATAATAATTTAAATGTTTAAAAAATCCACGAAGAAATTGATTTAATGCTTGTTAGCAATTTAAATATTTAACTCTTTTACAAATAATTTAGGGGTATAATATGAGTTAAATTCTATATTAAAAACACATTAATAAAAAACACATTTAAAAATATTTAAAATATAAAAGTTTACTGATAGTAATCTTTTAATATTGGAAATGACTGTTAAGGTAACATCTTTATTAGTTTGAGTCGCCTCTCTCTGTCTGTTCTACAAATACTTTCATGGAAATTGCTCTGTGGAGCTGCATTCGCTGGTTCCCAGACGTCATGAGTTCAAGCGCCATACGAGGCTGGCATCCCGCTCTCACCCCTTCACTGTCGAGACTCATAAATGTAGCCGTCTCTTCTACTCCAATAGCTTCATGTCTCGCACCTCTCGCCTGTGGAACTCCCTTCCCTATTCTTGTTTCCCTGTGAGCTATAATCTTCAGCTATTCAAGTGTAATGTCAATCGACATCTCCAGTTGCCTTGATCTATCCACTACCCTCAAACCACTTGATTATATATATATATAGATAGATAGATACACCTAGTGAGCCAGTTTGTCTGGCTCACTAGGTGTATCTAGGTCTGCTCTACGGTTGTATTGAGCTCTTTTGTTAGTTGTTTACTCGTATCGGGGTTTTTTCTTTGGGCTTCAAACCTGCATCTGTGCGATTTTTTGTCGACAAAAGTTCATGTTTGTAGCTCTTTCTTTTTTTAAAACCTTTTTTTCTCCCAAGATTGATTTGATTAGCAAATCAAAAATTTGAGGGTTTTCGAAACGAGTCTAGTTATATATATATATATATATATATATATATATATATATATATATATATATACAGGGTGGGGCAGAGCAACTTGCTTATTTGGAATATCAATTAAAACACAAGTAATGCAGGTATACATTTAATTCTTTGAACTGCAACTAGTTCAACATTTAAATTTTAATTTTTACCAGTGTTAAAGATGATATCAATAAGATGGCGTCCATTCTTCTCTATACACTGAGTCAATGATTTGGGGTGACTTTGCTGTTCGTGGGAGGCCAGGTTTCTTTCTCTTTACATCACCCGTTTCCCTGAAGTTGTTTACCCATGAAACAATCGATTGCCGGCCAGGAACACGACCACGGGGGGGGGCAATATTGAAATGTCTACGGAATGCACGTCGCGTTGCGACGATTGAGCGACCGCTTGAAAAAAATGGTCCAAATATTAGGTTTTAAAATTTTGTCCCTTAGTTTTTGACGCTACTGTATATATACATTGTCTTTTGTCAAGGTTGACTTTGAATGTATCAACTTTTAGTTGCTACTGCCTTTAGAAGTAAGTTTGTTATCGGAGAGAAGTGACAAGAGGTTTTGCCAAGATATCTGATGTAGTATGCAAATGTATATTTTTGTCTGGGTTTTTCAGATGAGAAGTTATCATTACTTACATTTTTTCTTCTAGTACTTATATCTTCATCTTCATCTTCGTTGTTATTATGACAATGTTTCATTCAGTGGCTTAACGCGTTGGTTCGTGAACTTGGTATAGTAATTGTGAGTTCAATCCCAAGGTTGGATCGTCTGTACTTGGACTCAGTGGAAACAGGGCGAGCAATAACTGAGTAGTACCAAAAAAATAGAACAAGACGAGATATCCCGAGACATTGACAGCGAAACGAGAACAATGTACCCTCGATGATTAAATAAAATGTTCACTTTAAAAGTTCCTGTAGGTTACTCACATCGACAGATAATTAACGAAGGACAGAGAGCAAAATATATATGCAATGTTGCATGATTTGACGAGAAAGAAATTAAACTAATTTTAACCCGTGAAAATTTCACGTTTTTCCAATTTGAATTTTTCGGTTCATCTTAATTCTTAACTTAATGATTGAATAAGTTCATGGCGATGTTATACGACAATAAAATATCCGTAGAAATTCCCCTATCGCAACATTAAATCTGAACTTAACAACCTTAACAAAATAAAAATCATAAATATGAAAGCTCGTCGTATTTTAAGAACTGTGTACAAATGAATGGATTTTAATTTTACAACTTTTTCCAATTCACTGAAACAGACGTTAAACACTTCTATCGTAATTTCTTTCTTTCTTTCATTCTTTCTTTCTTTTTTTTCACTTTCTCACTGAAACCAAGTAGTGTCTTTTCTCCTCTTTCCACACGATGAAAATGGAATAGTCCGATATTGATGAGGTATTGACAGGGCGTAACGATCGTGCGAACTAACAAAGTGCGTGACAAGCACAATTATAACAGGATATTTCACTACATTTCTCTTTAATTAATAGTTTTTCATTAATATTGCCGTTGTTTAATTTGAAGATAATGTACAAAATTAAATTTTTACTTTTTTTATTTTTCGATAATAAATTGAAATGAATTACATTTTTTCTTTTAAACTAGAGATCATTTTTAGGGGAATGCAATAGCATTATTTGCTACCAGAAATTAGGGAGAAAACCGTGCTACTACAAAAGCTTAAATGTTCGTAAGAGGGCATTATGAAACTTAATGCTTGAAAAGATCTCCATAATAAATGGCAGTTATATCAAATCGGCTCAGATCTG